GTACAATATAAAACTATTGACAAAACTTGTTGTCATTGGTTGTAAGTATTAAAACAGTATTTTTAAGTTTATTACAGAATATATAGACGTCTGTTTGATGTGTGTGTTTGCATCTGGGTAACATATTTTTTACAGTGTTTGCTCAAGTCTCTAAGACGTTTCCTGTCAGACGTCAAATAGACATTTAGAAAATGTCTTTAAGAAGTTTATGATTTAGAATGTATGTAACTGACATCTTAAAGATGTTTGTACACAGCAGATGCTTTCCGGATATATCTGGAAATATACATCTGTCTTGAATGGATAAAATGGGTTAAAAATTAATGGGATTTTTACGTCTGCAACCTCTGTTGTGCTCTTTTGTTTGCCTGCATTCACTGATTGGCTCATGTCAAATCCCTCAGCCAATCACATGCTTCTCGTCTCATTATTTCTTGGCAAAGCAGTTTTCTCTTGTTGTAAACACTTTAGCGCCCATTTTCGACACGTAAAATTTGATTTAGAGTGGTTCAGCTGATGCTGTCACAGTCAGTTAGCCTCTGAGAGCCTTTTATTGCCCTCTATTTTATTCTGTTAAGCTCTATCCTTGCGTTTTTTCATTCATTAGTCTGGGCCAGGTTGCCTCACAGTGTGTTGCTCTGATGACGAATATGTTTCAGGACATTATGATGAACCTGGCTAAAGCCGTAGCTAATGCCGCCGCCATGCTGGTGCTGAAAGCCAAGAACGTGGCACAGGTGGCCGAGGACACGGTGCTGCAGAACCGAGTCATTACCGCCGCCACGCAGTGCGCGCTCTCCACCTCACAGCTGGTGGCCTGTACAAAGGTACTTTTCAGAGTTTGTTGAGGAGTTGTCCTTTAAACTTGTATTTATTGAAAGATATCTGGAATACACTAGAACACATCTGTCTGGAGATAAAATTATCTATTTGTTGATGTTAGTTTCAGAAGAACTGAGTGGCTAGTGTTTGGGGTCGGTAAGATATTTAAATGTTTTTCAAAAAAAGTATCTTGTGCTGCGTTTATTTGATTAAAAAAATACAGTAAAAACAGAAATATTTTTACAACTTAAAATAACTGTTTTCTGTTTTAATATATTTTAAAATATTATTTATTCCTGTGATCAAAGCTGAATTTTCAGCATTATTACCCCAGTCTTCAGTGTCACATGATGCTGCTTCGTATTTTTGTGGAAACTGATGCATTTTTCTTTTTGACGTTCTAAAGAGCAGCATTTATATGAAATAGAATTTTTTTTTTGTCACATTTTAAATGTCTTTAATGTTAAATGCCTTTAATTTTGATCAATTAAATGCATCTTTTCTGAATAAAAGTAATAATTTCTTTTAAAAAATCTTACTCATCCTAAACCTGAATGGTAGTGTATGGTATAACATAATTTAATGATAATATATAACACTTTTTGCTTAAAGTAATAAAATGAACAAAATATTGACTCAAAATGCATATAAAAACTTAATGAAATGAAAAATAAAATTCAAAATATAATATTGCAAATATAATGTTTTAGTGTATTTTCAAATAAACATGTAATTTTATCATTATATAAAGTGTATTTTTATAATGTTATAATATAAAAATAGGCTATACCATTTATATATATATATACAGTATATATATATATATATATATATATTAAAGGAAGTCATTAATTAAGATTATTGTTAATATTTCAACATTTTATTAATTGGGTTTCATGAATGGGATTTCAACAGCAAAAAAAAGTGTCTTAATCCATAATGAAGATGTACAAGAATTGTAGCTTCAGTAATAGTATTCAACACTTGAGTTAACTAAAAAAAACAGTATGTAATTTGCTCCATAATATCTACCCAGGTTGAGTGAAGAAATCCTATTTGGATAGGTTTTAAAAAGTAAGAAGTACATCTGCGAAACATGAATTTGACTGGGTTTTTGTAAGATAACCGCACATAAGGCACCAAATGTTGTTTGTTGATCATTTAGAATAAGAAACTCCAGACTTTATTCTATCAAAGACTTGCAACTCTGACTTGCAATCAAATACTGACTGATTAATCAGCGATACATCAGTTGGTCCCTATGTCATTTTACTTTACTTTTTTTTATAATGTGTCATGTTGTTTTCTGACACTTATTTCAGTTCCGAGTTCATATTTTCATTTTCAGCTCTAAAAACACACTTCCTTACACTTGATGCCCAAAATAATCTGTCGCTATTCTGAACACAATGTCTTCCGTCTGTTTCGGTGAACGTGCGATTGTCGTAGGTGGTGAGCCCCACCATCTCGTCCCCGGTGTGTCAGGAGCAGCTGGTGGAGGCGGGCCGTCTGGTGGAGCGATCGGTGGAGGGCTGTGTGAAGGCGTGTCACGCCTCCTCAGAGGAGGGCGAGCTGCTCCGACAGGTGAACATGGCGGCTGGCGCGGTCAGCCAGGCCCTCAGCGACCTGCTGCAGCACGTACGCCACTATGCCAGCTGCGGCGAGCCGATCGGACGCTACGACCAGGCCACCGACACCATCATGACCGTAACAGAGAACATTTTCACCTCAATGGGGGACGCTGGTGAGTCTGTCCTGAACTGATAGTTTCCTAAAATTTGCCCGAATTATTGCAATGCGTTTGCCAAGGTGTTTTGTGGGGTTGCTAGGGGTGTTAAATTAAAATAGCCCACCTCCAAGTTTGACTGATCTCTAGATACAGCCTTAAATGGCATTTCATAGGGTGCGTCCCAATCAGCTCCCTAGCTCCTGAGCTCGTGAATCAGTAGATCGTGTACACTAATTCGGTCACTGGTTAGTTCCCTGACTCACTGCACGTTGGGACAGTGATCACTCAAATTCCAGTGACATGATTACGTACAACGTCAAAGGACAAAATAATAGAATGTCATCACTGGAATTAAATGGCAGGACCAATCTAATTTTTATATAATTTTTTATTCTCTTTAAACACATCGTTCTGTTACATGTTCTTACAACATTTCAGCCGAATATTAATTATAAATGTTAATTAGATGTGTTCATTACCTGTCTAGCGATGTGTGTTTATGTTGGAATATACAAAAAAACGTTTTGTCTTTTCAAATCTTCTATCGCGTGTCATTATATTTATCGAGTTGGCTCATGTGGTTTATGTTTCGCGCTTCAGAAATGTGACGTTATTTCCAGCACAGTGAGCTCCGATGCTCCCTAGTTTTTGCGGTGCATTGTGGGATTTTTCAGGGAGCGAACATTCCAGGGCACTGGAAGGATTTCATGATTGAGACAGCCCTTAAAATGGCCCACTCCCTGATCAGTGCCCTTACTACTGAACAAGGGAGCTGATTGAGACGCACCCATAGTTTTCTTTGCCTACTTTTTGCTAGAGAAACATTTCTTATTGTTATCAATGTTGAAAACAGTTGTGCTGCTCAGGGTTATTATAGTTAACTAAAATATTACTTTTTCTATTCTATTATTTATTGCAACATTTTATTTGAAATAAATAAATGTTACCTTTTCTTTATTTTTTTTTCAGCTAGTTGCCAAGGCAGTATTTCTCGTTTTAATTTAATTTATCTTGATGTACTAAAATAAAATGAAACTGGAATAAAAATAAATAAATATGCAGACATAAAAAAAATATAAAAAGAAAAATTCAAATATGAATAAAAACTATAACCGGATCTGAGTGATAAAAAAATATTGGTGCTGCTTAATATTTTTGTGAAACATTTTTTCAAAATTGTTTGATGAATAGAAATTTAAGGTTTATATATATATATATATATATATATAAACCTTACTGACACCAAACTCGTATGACATAATTTAATGACTGTAAATAATTGTTTAATAAAATAAAAAGTAATAATAAATAAAATAAAAAATAATTTTAAAAATGCAATCTTTGTATAATTTGTAAAACTTTTGTAAAATGTTACATCCAATTATTGTGGCAATTGGTAATTGAATATTAAAAGTGCCCACCTTCAAGTCTGACTGGTCTCTAGATGCGACCTAATGTCATTTAATAGTTTTCTTTGCCCGCGTTCTCCACCAAAACCATATGGTTGAACACTAAGTAATAGCACACCTCTCCTAACAAGCTGCAAAATTTGAGCTGTCATGCATATTGCAGGATGAATTATGCGCCGATGTTTATTACTTGGGGTTAAGGGATTGTTCAAATCCCCTAACCACAAAAATTAGCAAAAAAAAAAAAAGATTTTCGCCTTGGAAATTGCCGCTAAATTCGATAGATGGGTCTGTACCACAGGATGTAAAACAATTCCAGGCTACAGAGAATTTATTTAATAAATGGAAATCAAAGTCAAATAAGCATACAGTAATATGCAAGACAGCTTTAATATCTTTCAGGCACACCGTCCAAACAAAGCATATCTGTGCTGTGACACAATAGGATTAGCTTGTCCATATTCAGAATTGCACAATTTTTTTGCTGTTCCTGGCCTCATTTTGAAGCTCTCAATTGTGCACTAACATCTCACCCACTTGCAGTCCTAATTCAGGTGAACTGTAAGCAACATTAATTCTCCAATATAATGCGCTGACAAATATTTAGCTTGCTAGCTTTGCTCAGCCTTTGTATCTTGTCTCTGTTGTTTTTCTGGGAGAATTTGACCCCCAGTTTATTTTGACTCCGTGAAGTCCTTAAAAGTGATTTTGTCTGCGGTCTGAGGTGTTTTTTTGGGCTGTTTTCAAAACTGAAGATGTTTGTTATGCTATGGCCGTAAGTCTAAAGAATCCTCAAAAGATTCTGCTTCCGCAAGGTTGTTGAAAACATGTCATATAAAACCGCTACAGAGCATCAAATCTGCTCTCAATCACGCACGCCCTGTCTTTGAACTTTTTAAAGGAAAACACATGGCAAAAGCTGCTGGTGGGGTTGACTGCAACTGTTCAAGTTAAACATGGAACATGATAAACAACCTGAGCCAACAAATAATCATCATCAAAGATTTGTTTAGCTTGAAAGTCAACAATAAATCAATATTGACTCTGTTTGCTTTAATACACATTATGGTTTGTATTGTGCATGATTCATCAGTTATTTAGAAGAAAAAAATTTACTTTTTGTACCCCTTCATGTAGTAATTTGCTGAAACAAATTTCATTTTTTGCTGACATCACTCAAGCCATGCGACCTTAACATTACGTAATATTGGCAATTGGTAGATATTGCTTTATGAATGATAAAAAAAAAAAAAATCTTTAGCCAATATGCAGAACCAAATTAAATGATTTTATTTATGCTTTTTGAATAACTTAATAATTTAGACTACAATAAATAATAAATATATACAGTATTTATATATAAATATTTATTTTAAATCAATAAATAAACATGCTTTTTACAAAATATTCACTCAAAAATAAATTAATTAAAAATAAATTCAGAAAATATAATGTAATGTTTTAGATCCAGTTATAAAAATTGGAATATTAAGAGGTATTACATTAAATCTTTAGTATTTTTCGGACAGGATTTGAACGAATTAATGAATTAATTAATTAATTAAATTATAGAATTATATTTAAATCATTTTTTAAATTCTAACATGTAAAGTATGATATCTTTATATTATTGTAAATACAGTAAATTATTTTATTGATGATTTATTATTATTATTGTTGTTGTTTTTGTTAAGGCCATTTTATTTATTTAAAGTTATTTTGAAGTCAAAATTTGCATTTTGCAATTTTATTTACATATTTTTTTTTATTGTTAAGCTAAACATTTGTCATTTGAACAAAGAATTATCCAAACATATTAAGTAATCTATCCATAAATACCTTTTTGGTAAACCCCAAATGAAAGAATTTCAGCAACCAATAGCCAAACAGCTGTTTAAGCATTGTTTTAGGCTACTGTTGTAGTTATTTCACTGATTTAATGCAAATAATGGCAAATGTGCTGCGTTTATAAAAGAAGTGTTACTGTTTAAATACATTGAGATGTTCTCAAAGATGAACCTGACCTCCAGTCTCCACATCCCAGTCAAAAAGCATCCTCAAACGTGGCGGTATTTCAGAAGTGAGGTTGTGGCCCACATTCAGCTGCGAACTTGCATTCAGGTCTGACTTCATTCTGTTATGAAAAGCCTACTTTTCATTTTGCAGTGAATCAAATTAAGTCCAGCCTTTTTTTTTTTTTTTTGTCATTTAACTCTGAAATAGAGAAAGTAAAATGGGTGAATACTGCTTCATGTTGATTTAACAAGCTTACTATTTTCACACTGAATCCATCCTACGTTTCGAGAGGTGAAACACCCCTTAAGCACACCTCTCTCCCTTGATAATCTTGTCAACGCTGTTATTTCTGGATCTATGTAGGTGTTCGGGAACTACAGAGTCCATTTATGGAAAACGAGTAGGCACGCTTTTGAAAGGGCCCTTGATCAATGATGTACTTCAGGTCACACGGGTGCACAACCATTTGAGCACTTCGGTTCCTGAAGCGATATGCAGAGAGAATGCAGAAAGATTGATTTTCAAAGAGAACAGCTTCAGCGGAGCCAGATTCACACACATCAAAGAAACGTGGAATGGCTGTTGGTTTTTTTCTCCTCCAGTCTGGAGTCAAGGACAGTGAATATACTGTGGAAGGAGCCAAGAATATGCCAGTAGATGTTTCTGAAGAAATATAAAATCTGCCCACACAGCATGCTGATATTGTGGCTTTTAAATAACATTTATTTTCACATTTACAGGTGAAATGGTACGACAGGCGCGGGTTCTGGCCCAGGCCACCTCAGACTTGGTGAATGCGATGCGCTCCGACGCCGAGGCTGAAATCGATGTGGATAATTCCAAGAAACTACTCGCGGCTGCCAAGCTGTTGGCCGATGCCACTGCCAGAATGGTGGAAGCTGCGAAGGTATGAAAACTAGAGCAAGATACAAATTCTGCATTTACAGTATAAAAAATACCTTGATTATGCCATAATTTCATACCATGAAATTATGTTTGTTTTGACAGGTACCATGACAATTTCCACCAAATAATAATTTTATATTTTGTAAATAATATTTGTTTTTTCCGGTCCGTGTACTTTTGCATCCATTCGTTTTTAGTTTTTTAACCATGACGGAAAAAACTAAGAAAAAAACGGTTGTTGTATTTTTAAATGCTATGCTGAAAACCAAAATTGAAATTAGAACCGTGTACACAAAATGCTGCCCGAAAAAAGTTAAATATTGACTTCTTTTCAGATTTTTGTTAATGAATTTTTGCACTTTTAATAAACATTTTAAAAATGCACAAATTAGTATAGAAAAATGTCGATTTTAACAAGTTTTCTTTGGCCAAATTTAGTGATGCTTCTCCCGCACGTTCAGTTGAGAACTAGAGCCGTCTTTGGAACAATGCAGAGACTTAATGCAAATATGATTTTTTTAAATAGACATCCCAGAATCCTGGGAAATCTATCATCATGAAATTATATATTGGGATATAATTTTGTCATAACTTTGTGTGCTATATGGGTACATTATTGGAGAGGACCATGCATGGTCGCTCAATGCACGTACAGTAGGCTACATTGTGTTAGAGCGCTACACACGGTTTAATATATGGGATAAATATATATAGGCTAATATAGAAATATAGAAAGTTATAATCTCCAAACATGCAGGCCCGGTTCCTAAATCAAATCACTGAGGGTGCTTCTGAAATCAGTGAGGGTGCTCTAGCCTTATACATTTTGACATATATTTGCTCTGTTCACTGTTCACTAACCCCGTTCTTTTTCATCAGTATTATTTGTGATTTGAATTTTGTGAACGGGAATTCCTCTTTTGCTGTGTTATAAGCCAGACTTTGGACGCTTTCACTTTCGAATTCGCGATCTTGGGGTCACATTTTACAAGAAAAGATAATTGTCTGTTTTGCTTATATCTATACACCTTTCACTTTATAAGACTAAAACAAAAGATTGATTCATTGTTATTTTTAATTAAAAAGCACAACAACAATAAAACAGTAGGCTATAATGACAAACTAGCTTACATAACGTTTATTAACAAAAACGAATAAGATGAGGCATGGCTCCACATGCTATATTATATATTATATACTAAATTACAGAATGTTTGGCAAACAGTGAGTAATCAAATAAATAAAAAATACAAATTAAAAATTAAAAAATCCATAGAGTAACGTGAGGTAAACAGCAAAGATAACAAGCTTTTTAAAACGAAAACAAAAAGAAAAGTGAAACTAAACTGGCTGTCGGTGACAGGACTTGCATGTGTTTTTTTTCCCACAAGAATACCAACATGTTCACCTTCTCTGGTTTATGAAGCGGTCTTTTATTTTATTTTAGTGTGAAAACCAAATCCGCCGTCTTCCATAATTTCCTCAATATTCATCTGCAGAACACAAGATCCAGGGGGCGTGGTTGGATCCACATCTAGGGGGTGGAGATGGGTGGGTTTAGGGAAGTTTACATCCCCCTTTCAGAATCTGCAAAATATTATTTTACCAAAATAAGAGAGATCATACAAAATGCATGTTATTGTTTATTTAGTACTGACCTGAATAAGATATTTCTCATAAAAGAGGTTTACATATGTGACCCTGGAGCACAAAACCAGTCATAAGCATACATTTTTGGAAATTGAGATTTATACATCATCTGAAGCTGAATAAATAAGCTTTCCATTGATGTATGGTTTGGACAATATTTGGCCGAGATACAACTATTTGAAAATCTGGAATCTGAGGGTGCAAAAAAAATCAAAATACTAAGAAAATCGTCTTTAAAGTTGTCCAAATTAAGTTCTTAGCAATGCATATTGGTCCATGTACTTTTGCTTCCATTCGTTTTTCGTTTTTTAACCATGACGGAAAAAATGAAAAAAGAACGGTTATTGTATTTTTAAATGCTATGCTGAAAACCAAAATTGACATTAGAACCGTACACACAAAATGCTGCCCGAAAAAGTAAAATACTTACTTTTCAGATTTTTATTTATGACTTTTTGCAACTTTATAAACATTTGAAAAATGCTCAAATTAATATAGAAAAATGTCGATTTTAACAAGTTTTCTTTGGCCAAATTTAGTGATGCTTCTCCCGCACGTTCAGTTGAGAACTAGAGTCGTCTTTGGAACAATGCAGAGACTTAATGCAAATATGATTTTTTAAATAGACATCCCAGAATCCTGGGAAATCTATCATCATGAAATTATATATTGGGATATAATTTTGTCATAACTTTGTGTGCTATATGGGTACATTATTGGAGAGGACCATGCATGGTCGCTCAATGCACGTACAGTAGGCTACATTGTGTTAGAGCGCTACACACGGTTTAATATATGGGATAAATATATATAGGCTAATATAGAAATATAGAAAGGTATAATCTCCAAACATGCAGGCCCGGTTCCTAAATCAAATCACTGAGGGTGCTTCTGAAATCAGTGAGGGTGCTCTAGCCTTATACATTTTGACATATATTTGCTCTGTTCACTGTTCACTAACCCCGTTCTTTTTCATCAGTATTATTTGTGATTTGAATTTTGTGAACGGGAATTCCTCTTTTGCTGTGTTATAAGCCAGACTTTGGACGCTTTCACTTTCGAATTCGCGATCTTGGGGTCACATTTTACAAGAAAAGATAATTGTCTGTTTTGCTTATATCTATACACCTTTCACTTTATAAGACTAAAACAAAAGATTGATTCATTGTTATTTTTAATTAAAAAGCACAACAACAATAAAACAGTAGGCTATAATGACAAACTAGCTTACATAACGTTTATTAACAAAAACGAATAAGATGAGGCATGGCTCCACATGCTATATTATATACTAACTAATAAATTACAGAATGTTTGGCAAACAGTGAGTAATCAAATAAATAAAAAATACAAATTAAAAAAGAAAGCCTCCATAGAGTAACGTGAGGTAAACAGCAAAGATAACAAGCTTTTTAAAACGAAAACAAAAAGAAAAGTAAAACTAAACTGGCTTTCGGTGAGAGGACTTGGAAGGGTGTGAAACTAAACTGGCTGTCGGTGACAGGACTTGCATGTGTTTTTTTTCCCACAAGAATACCAACATGTTCACCTTCTCTGGTTTATGAAGCGGTCTTTTATTTTATTTTAGTGTGAAAACCAAATCCGCCGTCTTCCATAATTTCCTCAATATTCATCTGCAGAACACAAGATCCAGGGGGCGTGGTTGGATCCACATCTAGGGGGTGGAGATGGGTGGGTTTAGGGATCAGGGGGTGGAGATGGGTAGGTTTAGGTATATGTAAGGTGGGAGGAGTTGGATCTGGATCCATTCCACTGAAAGCGCCTCTCTTCACGTGATCAGTGAAATCTGACTCCTGCTACAGTGTGCCTCGCTGTATGCAGCAGACGCTTTGGAGCAGGGCAGACCATGCACGCACAAATGCGACCACGTCAAATTTGAACTCGCACATTCTCAAAAAATTGTCACAAATGTGACCATTTTGGTCGCTGTCTATATGCGGATGTCACTGCCAAAACTTTACAGCATGCAGCTGTCACTGGTCTAACAGCCTCATGAAAAGAAAAATGTATTCAAATTCTGAATGAATTAGCCAAGAAAGCGCGCTCTGCGCTCCCTATAATAATTATAAAGCTGTCATTCATTTCAGTTTATCGCGATCTCACAAAAATCCGTTATAATCAATGAGGCTCGACCATAGGAGGGGTTTAGAGAGACTGAATCTTAGAACTGCTTCGAACAAATCGTTTGAGAATCGATGGAAAATGAGGTGATATTAAATGCATATTTTGAGAAAACTAAAGGATTGTTTGACCTTGCATGCATGTAAACCTATTGTAGGAGACTCCCAAAACAATACTAGGAACGTTAGAAATAATAGGGGGCATAATAGGGGCACTTTAAGATCATAAAAATATCGAAGCTAAAGGTTTTCATAAAGCAGTTATGGTAGCCATGTCAGTAGCGCGAGAGGACGCTAGCGTCTGTATAGAGACGCTAAAAAAGGTGGAAATTAAATGTAGCATTATATACATTAAAAAACAAGCTTTATATCATTTTTACGATTTTTAATGAAATACGAATTTTGAATAATGAAAATTAGTTTGTGTCTGCTTATTCTATTCATCAGTGTTTGAACCATTAAAGAAGAAACCGCATTTTCCATATTTCATTTCTGGGTTAAAAAACGAAAAACAAATGGACGCAAAAGTACACGGACCGTGTGCGTGTTTTGTTTTGGGTTTTTTAGTTTGTTATAGCGTTTTTGTTTCACTTTGTTTGTTTTTTGTGTTTTTTGTTTTCTTTTTTTGTTTTTAGTTTTTTGTTTTGTTTTGTTTTTTTGTATTGGGGTTTTTTTTTGTTTGGGTTTTTCAGTTTTGTTTGGAGTTTTTGTTTTATGTTCTGTTTTATTTTTTGTGTTTTTGTTTTGGGTTCATGTATGTATGTTTGTATGTATGTATATTTATGTATGTATGCATGTATGTATGTGCAGCATGGTAATACCATGTTTTTTGAACATGTATCATGGCTGCTCCATGCTTTAGGACATATACCATGGCACGACCATGTTACTCTTTAGAATACCTTGCCATATCATGGTAATAACATGATATGTAATCATTCAGTACTATATCAAATGTTTAACATGATACCATCATTGTACTATGGTACTGCCACAGATCTTTTTTTAAGGGTAAAAAAGAATGCTCGCTGTAGGTCATTTTGTATGTTTCCGTTTTTTTTTTTTTTTTAAATATCCAAAATCAGAAGGACCCAGAATCAGCAGCCACACTGTAATGTGCTTCTCCTCATCACTGCTTCATCTCTGATACCTAAAAGAGCCTTGAGCCATCATTTAGATTCGACTCGTGATAAGATGGACCACAGATTCAATTTTCAATCCCCATCAGCAACACAGAGAAGTATAAATGGTCAGGATATGATTCTTATGCAGCCATATGAAGTGCAGGCTTATGGTTTGTTAGGCACATTTGATACATGATACATTAATCACAACATCACTGCCATTATCAAACGTAAAGAGGAGGAATGAACCACAGACGGTTTCCTTGGTAACAGAGATGGAGCAGACGGCCCCTAATTCCTCTTTGCATTGAATGTTTTGTAATGCACCGTAAGTGTGCGGATGGTGTAGCTAAGAGTTCTGCTGTCGCTGACAAATTTCCCTTCACAGGGCTGACCGAGTCTGGGATTTATCTGTGACAACTTTGTCCTCTTAGAATTGCCTTTCACTTTCTGTTTAACCATTAAACAAGGAGATAAAGTGGAACAAAGAGAAACACCAAGGCTTCAAAATGGCATATTAGCTACTAGTTTTTAAAGTAATTTGCAGTTATGTATACTGTCAGTGTTTATATATGACTATGGTATATATGACTATATTCAAAATATAACACAGCCTCTGCTTAAACGTCTTTTTCTTGATTATTATATGATTGAACAATCATAGACGAGATATTTTTTACAAAAATTTAGATTAATTAACTGTATTAATTTGTATTTGTATTTAATACAGTTAATTGTATTTGTATTAATTTACCTGGATACCACTTGCTAACTACTGTAAACATGCAATGTAGTGAGGTTATTCTATAACAATATAGCATATTATTTTTTGGAACAAAAGTGTCCAAAACACTCATTATTGTAATGTTTTATTTCATTATTGTGACTGTATCTCATAGTTGCGCCCTTACATCTCCCAAATGTTCCTTTATTTCCCATAATTTTGACTGTATCTCATAATTGTGACTATATCTCACAATTGTGGTTTTATTTCCCATAATCGTAACAATATCTCATGATTATGACTTTATATCTCACAATTGTGGTTTTATTTTCCATAATTGTGACTTTATATCTCATAATTGTGGTTTTATTTCCAATAATTGTGACTATATCTCACAATTGTGGTTTTATTTCCAATAATTGTGACTATATCTCACAATTGTGGTTTTATTTCCAATAATTGTGACTATATCTCACAATTGTGGTTTTATTTCCCATAATTGTGGTTTTATTTCCCATAATCGTAACAATATCTCATAATTATGACTTTATATCTCACAATTGTGGTTTTATTTCCCATAATTGTGACTTTATATCTCGTAATTGGGGTTTTATTTCCAATAATTGTGACTATATCTCACAATTGTGGTTTTAATTCCCATAATTGTGGTTTTATTTCCCATAATCGTGACTATATTTCATAATTGTGACTTTATATCTTGTAATTGTGGTTATATTTCCAATAATTGTGACTTAATATCTCACAATTGTAGTTTTATTTCCCATAATTGTGACTATATCTCACAATTGTGTTTTTATTTCCCATAATTGTAACTATATCTCATAATTATGACTTTATATCTCACAACTGTGGTTTTATTTCCCATAATTGTGACTATATCTCATAATTGTGACTTTATATCTCGTAATTGTGTTTTTTTTTTTTCAATAATTGTGACTATATCTCACAATTGTGGTTTTATTTCCCATAATTGTGACTTTATATCTCGTAATTGTAGTTTTATTTTTAATAATTGTGACTATATCTCATAACTGTGACTTTAACATTCACAATAGTGACGATATTTACATTTAGTCATTTGGCAGGCTCTTTTATCCAAAGCGACTTACAATTGGGGGATACATAAAGCGATTCTTCTTGGAAGTAGGCGGGTGCTGAGCCTGTGGCTGTTTTATATGTAAGCATCAATGTCTTGAACTTGATGCGAGCCGCAACCGGTAGCCAGTGCAAGGAGATAAAGAGAGGTGTAACATGGGCTCTTTTGGGCTCATTGAAGACCAGTCGTGCCGCTGCATTCTGAATCATTTGTAGAGGTTTGATTGTGCTTGATGGAAGTCCAGCCAGAAGAGCATTGCAGTAGTCCAGCCTAGAAATGACAAGGGCCTGGACAAGAAGTCGTGCAGCATGCTCCGTTAGAAAGGGCCTGATCTTTCTGATGTTGTGCAATGCAAACCTGCAAGATCGAGCAGTCTTTGCAATGTGGTCTTTGAAGGTCAGCTGGTCATCAAAGGTTACACCAAGATTTCTGACCGAAGTTGATGGGGTAATTGTAGAAGAAATTGTAGAACTCAATTACGATTATCTTGTAATTGAGACAAATTGTGAATATTACACATAATTGCAACTTTATTTTTTATTACTATGTATCAGAAAAAATGCAACTTTATGTAGCGCAATTCTGAAAAAAATTGTTTTAAATTTTTTTTAACCTTATTTTAATTTAAACCTTTTTATAAAATATTAGGCAGTGTAGAGCATATAATGCACATATTTAGTAAGCAGTTTGCTTCCATTCTGAACATAGCCCATGAGAAAAATTACCCAAAACAAGCTATTGTTGCATGTTAACAACACATATACTAGGGTGACCATACGTGCCATTTTCCCAGGACGGGTCCTGGCCAGGATTTCTATATTGCCTAAAATATCTAGGTTTTGGCTTTGTTTGTGTGTGCAGACCGATCGGTGTATGACATCAAAATACCATAGCATACCATACCATTTTGATGTCATACACCGATCGGTCTGCACACGCAAACAAAGCCAAAACCTAGATATTTTAGGCAATATAGAAATCCTGGCCAGGACGCATCCTGGGAAAATGGCACATATAGTCACCCTACATATACAGTAATGTAGACTGCTATTAAAACCAATAGTACCTGTGTTGTTTTTGTGCAGGGTGCTGCTGCATACCCAGAAAATGAAGACCAGCAGCAGAGGCTGCGAGAGGCTGCTGAAGGGTTACGGGTCGCCACCAACGCAGCCGCTCAGAATGCCATCAAAAAGAAACTCATTCACCGACTGGAGGTGAGGACATGTATTATGCCACCTCCCGTTCAGTGTCCGCTCAGTGTTTGATCCTGCCTTGAATCACACAGTTTTAAAGGGGTCATATGATGCTGCTAAAAAGAACATTATTTTGTGTATTTGGTGTAATGAAATGTGTTTAAACACATTATTTTCCACATACTGTACATTATTGTTTCTCCTCTATGCCCCGCCTTTTTGAAACGCATCGATTTTTACAAAACTCATCGGTCTGAAAAGGCAAGTTGTGCTGTGATTGGCCAGCTATCCAGTGCGTTGTGATTGGCCGAATACCTCAAGTGTGTGACGGAAATGTTACGCCCCTTACCATACTGTGATGCCCTGTCCGGCCGA